TGCAAAATTTCCCTTAGCCATCCTTTGCTGGTCATATAAGAAATGTTTTCTCTGCAATAGCAGCTGAATTTAATCTATGTATTTCTAAGAGTTTCTTATGATTTCATGAATAAGTGCAAACCCCCTCTCCTCATTTCATGTAACGGGAGTTATGGTTCTTTTTTTTTTTTTTTAGACTTTATCATGCGGAGAAGATTTCAAACACCAATCTAGTATTCATAATCAGTGACAGCCAATTTCTGTGCCGCTCTTGTGATCCAAAACCATTGATGCAAGCAGAAAAGCCGGGTATCCTTTTAAAAACGGGACTACTGGTTAGGTTGATTCATGACTGCGTAGTAAATATTGGAATATGATATAGGACCCCTCTCTACAATTAGTGGCATGCAACACTGTAGCACCTGTGTCAACCAGTGATTACCGTGCAGAATTTCTACATAACAAAACCCAAAAAGGATTGTCTGAAATATTTCCATAGTTGATTAAATACATTTTTGATTTGCTGGTCTTCATGTGTATTCCCATGCTGATGGGTTTTTTTTTTTTTCCCTCCGAGAAAATATATGGGATTTTCCACACCGTAAAAGACTCTGATGTGTTGGTAGGCCATGCGTGCCTTCACTTGATACCCACTTGCCTGTTACCTTAGTCCCCTGACATTGGCTCAATTTCAGGGCCCAGGAATGGGAAGTACATCCGAAGGTCTTAGTTGGTCACCTGACCTGGGAGCTGAGCCACCTTCAGGTTACCTGTAGTGCTTGAGCTGATCAAATCTTAGTGCTTATATGCTAATTGTCCTCACCTCACTATAAAATAAGAGTTGAGGCAAAAACTCTTGTTCAGGTACATAGGATGAACTGGGGTGTGTAGGCATTATAGATGGAGTTGGCAGAATAAAAAGTGATGTCTCACTTGAGAAGTACAACATAGAAGAGGCAGCCCAAGATAAAGCTGGCAAGTCATTAGGTGCTAAGGTCAATGGCAGCCAGTTAAAGTATCTGCCATGGAGTCGCTCCTGGTGAGGCAGGTGCTGCTCTCAATCTCTGTAGCTAGGGCACTCTCTCGTGCATTTTCTCTCTCTTCCTCTTCCCCCCACCTTCTTTTGTAAGCAATACTTGTTTAATGCAATGTGCAGCACTTGGAGAAAGCAACTATCTATGGCACTTACCCGGAAAAGGGTGCCCTAGATCCTGTCTTTGCTGCTAGTGTGATTTCTGGCTTTTTTGCCCTCCTTTTTTAACCAATGACTGCCAGTGTAAACAGTGCTGGCAGCAGCATGATTGGTGGACTGCCTCAACCATTAGGTTACAGGTGCCTTCTCCTTCTTGTTTGTGCTCCTTCTGGTGCCATGATTCCTGTGCTCTTAGTTGTCCAATGGGCCATCTTCAGGATGAATAGGGGAGAGTGCCCTCACCTAGTCTAATCTGTCACATGATGGTAAAGACATTTCTTACTGCGCAGGAATACAGGTCCAAATTCTCTGACCCTGAAAGGAAACCCAGGTCTATTCCTGGACAGGTTTTTTATCACTGGACTACTAGGCAAAGGGGGCACAGCAACACCTCCAAAACCCATTAGGCCACAGTACTCAGAAGTGAGAATGGATGCTATGAGAGAAACACTTCACAGACATCTTGTGTTGGAAGTCAGCTCAAACCCACTCCATGTTTTAGCATTTCCTATTTTATGCTTCTGAGGAGCTTTCCAGACTTTCTGAATTGTTCACTTGTAGGTGTCTACCAGTTGCCTATATAGGGTGTCTCATAGTTTCATACTTGGTAGGGTCGGAAGGGACCTGAGCAGGTCATCAAGTCCG